GAGCCCTCCTTTGATAAATATTGTGCGGACGGCCGCGAGCAAATATTCTTCAGTGAATAGTCGGCTTATTTAACTCCGTTACACAACTTAATAACCTATAGTAAGGGACAAGGATTTCCTAAAAGCAAGACAGCTTCATAGTAAAAAATGCAATTAAAATATTTAATTGTGCTGAGCATACTCTTGCAAAGGTTATGGCCAAAATTTCTACATGGACTTTTTATAGAAGATACCAATAGGTCTATTAATTACGCTAGTGCATACCTATAGTGCAAAATCATAGTGTATGTCTGATAAAAATGCTTAAATCTGAAGAAAAACTCTGTCACATAAACTTGTTTTATAATACACTAAGCTATCATGTTCTAGGTGGAATGATGCATTGAATTTAATAAATAAATACACAAAAAAGCAGATTTTAAATAATTTTTTAAGTTGACAAAAATCAGTTATGATAACTTAATCAAATAATTTTTCGAGACAGGATTTTGCATTAAAGTTATTAATTTAATACAAAATTAAGGAAAGCTTTGATTAACTGATTATATATATTTTATTTGTTTACTATAAATATTCATATTACATGCAAAATTGAAGATAATACATAAAATTTATAATTGCAGTAAAAAAAATTAAAAATATAATGTAATTACAAAATCATGGGTAACCTTCGAAACTCTTTCAATATCTGATAGTTATAAAGTGATAACTCAGGTATTGAAAGAGTGCCGTTTCTCAATTTTCTTTCCATTTCTTCATAATTCATTTTCAAGTAATTGTACAAAACTTTCACCTGCCATTCTAAAATATAAAACGTATACTATTAAATGATGACATTTGAAAAATATTTCAGATAAAAGTTGTATAGTTCACAAAGACTCCACTGACAATGACGTTGAGCGTCGTCCTTGGATGTGATTTTAAAGATTATTTCAAGATATACCTTTGTTTTTCAAAATAAGAACGTATATTTTTGACCCCAGATTCAGAAAGAGCAGAAAATTCTACGTTTAGATAAGATATGTAGGATCTACGAATGACACTTTAAGATCATGGAATATACATAAAATATACAATTTAAGTGCGTATTCTTTATTGAGTATGTTGAACTATATGTTTATTTGCACTGATCTAAGTAGTCAAGGGACTTCACTGTAAACATAACCAGCTGTAAGATCTTGCAGTCTCTAAAGAAGGTACGTTTATGTACGCGTGCGTGTGTCAAGGCAAAACAATGTAGCGATGCAGTTAGTAAGGAAAAATTTCAGTAGAGCTTCATCCAGTCAAGGTAAAGTTATATACTACAAATGCTCCCACCTAATTATGAATCAAATGTTCAATGTGTACACTATTATTTTTAAAACACAATAACAATTTGTAAGTATTTCAGTAGTTATCACTTAAGAGTACTTCCTATATTTTCACTCTCTTTTCCATAACCATCCGACGCTGCAAGATTATAAGCATGTGTTATATACACGTATTTACTAAAAAAATATGTCTTTCTATTAGATTCGTCGAAGTAATAGATGATATCACAGCGCAAACTCGAATAGAGAAGATACGACGAGCGCGAGAGTGAAGAAGATAGATAGTTGTGTACGCAGCATGGGACCATACATGGGAGGCAGTGAGATCGCGCACATGCGTCCGATAGATTGCAACCTTGGTGGGGCTTCAGATAATCTACATCTACTCCAAGAAGAAAGCAACTGTCTGAGAAAATGAGAACAAATGACCGGGAGACTATTTACTGACCAACAGACCATAACTTTTATGCTTATTTAAGATATAAAAATTTATTCTACGTAACAAGTATATCTGTCGATTACCTTTTTCTGTGAAAGGTCTTATCAATGCCACGATAAGCAGTAAGTTATAAGTGAGATCTCTTGACAGCTTAAATTAGTGCCAAACAATAAACAGCCCAACACGTGGTAGAACGATGTACGAAAAATGACTAATCACAGCAAAACTCATCTATATAGTTTCCCGTTTATTCCGAATGCGGAATGAAAATAAAAATTTGTATATTATAGAATCTTAGTGTGAACCATAGTACCTTTGAACGTAAAATATAAAGATTCTTATTTAAAATAAAAAACGTTTATCTGGCAATGACCTTTAAAATCACATCCAAGAATACGTTTGACGTCAAGTTATAGTCAAGGGGACATCTTATGTATATATTTATCAATAATATATATACAAGATGTATATATATATCAATTATATATATTCTTGATAAATTTTAACGACACAACTATACTATCTGACTCACCAAAAAGCTTACGGGAAACCCATCTATTATTATTTAATTCCCTAGTTATAAATTTTAAGCATTTTTTTTTAAGAGCTTTCGGATTATATGTTTCTTCTCGGTACTCTAATATACCAATGTTCATCAGAAAAAACAATTGGTTGTGGATCTCAACTTCTTCATCTACCGTTAAATATACATCTGTCAATCCACTGAACGTTCTGAATTCCATACCGTATCTACAATTTTTAAATTGTTATTAATAAAAACAGAAAGAAAGCAAACAAACTGTGCACCTTAATTTAGTTTCAGTAACATACATTGAAACAGTAGAAATCTTTAGAAATCGTAGTAGAAACATGCGATTTCAGATTGCTTGTTAGAAACATATATGTTAGGCTATAGAAAATGTATTACTTTAATACAAAAAATAAATTAAAAGAAGAAGTTAATTGCGCTTTTGTAAAAAAAATTTTTTTTTAAAAATCACTTTTCCAATAACTTAAAAATAAATAAATTGTTGATTACTATGCAAGTCCTACATAAGCAAAATAATAAACACAATCTTAATACAGAAACAATCATAAATATGTGATTTGAGCGAAATATTTCGAAAATAAAGGAAATGCTAAAGACGTAATAAAGAATTGACTTCGGCCGAATTTTACGTTTTAAACTCTCTCTTCCGGTTTAGACTGATGTCTCCGAGGTGTGATGGTGTGTGCATCATTAGCACACCCTTATTTTTGGCTCACCTATTATTCAAAGTGTTGGCAGCGACTAGACCGAATTCGAAAGAGTAAGTAGAGCGAGAAAGAGGCGATCTATTTCGGCTTTGCGGTCAGCTGTAAAATTTTCGGCAGTTTCCAGCTGACCTCTATTATAGCAAGTATAGCTTCGTCAGTAGCCACTAAAACAATGATAGCAACGAGAGCAACTATATAACACCAGCAGCGACAGCGGTATCAGCAGCAACTGCATAACAACAACACCGACAGCAGCATCAAAGTAATGGAGGGCAGCGCGACACCATGAGTTATTTGTGTGTGGCAATGTCGTCTCTCACTCATGTATTTCAGAGCCGTATGTCCGGGCTATTATAATGCCAACGGTCAGCAATAGTGCGATCTTTGTGCATTAACAACACCCGTGGTCGCACGGATTGCTGGATGATGCGCCGTCCGTTTTGTTTGTTTCGCCGGATTATTTTTATTTTCATTTTTGAGAGTGTGTAATAAATGTATATTTAATGTATTTCGTGTGCAAGGGATTTGTCAGTCTTATTTCTGTCACCTATAGTAGTTCTCTTCCTCGTGATCGCGTGGGTATGTTTTCCCAATACGCTCTTAAGGGCTGCAGCATGTTACCTCCTATCTGTGTAATTTAAATAATTTGTTTGCGCTCAAATCGGGGATGTATTTTATTTGAACTTAAGAAAAATCCCATTTAATCGTTACAACATTTTTGAGTGATCGAATCATTCGTTACAATATATAAAAGCACAATGCTGTAAAATTGCGGAACGAGTTAGTGGATCTCACGTTTGACTAAAGAAAAAAGCGAGGAATGGCAATAGCTTAACTTTTTACTGTATGCGGCTAATTACAGGTCATGGCAGAGCTAGGAGTGTCTTGCTAAAAGGGTAGCCAAAATAAGTGTACCGTACCAACCTTGCGATTTATGAATAGATAGATGACCGATAAAAACTTAAAACTAATTACTTAAGGTAGATATAGATGGAAGTATGCATTACAGGCGCGAGTTTACAAAGAGAGAATAAAATAGTGACGCTCTAACGATACCTACAATTTATTATGTACAGATTTTAGAGAAGACATTTCTGGACTGCTTGTAAACTTATAACTCAGGTAACGTCTAGGTTTGCTCAAGTACGCGGCAGTATGTGTTAAGGCCGCTAAGTTGAAAGACAGATAAACGAGGGGCAATATGCGCCGATCCTCATATCAAGTTGATTCACCACGAGAAGAAAAAAAATCAAGAAAAACCATGCCACTAGTTCCTGACTGTCGGGATTAAAATTAGTAACACTCAGCTGGTTTTTCCATGAGTTGATACCCGAATGATTATTTCAAGGCCTCAGTACGAGAGGCTCGAACATTGAAGGTAATTGATGGATTTCGAAGTGAACGGCGGATGAGGACGTTTCGAGGGAGATACTTCAGAGCCGAACTTCAAACCACCTTGTAAAGCAGCCTCGTAAGAGCTATTTGCTCTTGTAAACTCAGCATCAACCAGCCCAGCTTAAGCCTCTGAAAAAAGATGTAGGTTTGGGTGTTGGGTGAATAGGTCACTGGTCGGGATAAAGGGTATTTAGTCCACCACAAAATAGACACACGCATTGTGAGCGAACTGAAGTTCAGCCATGCGAATTTTGTCGACGTCCATGAGAACTACGAACCGGACGCGTAGATGAAGTGCGGGAAGATCAGGAACTGGAACAAGTTTCTCGTTAGAGTGACGAACAACGATCTGAGGTGAAACATCCCAGAATGCAGTGACCAATGGACCTTGTGGACCACCGTTAAGGTATTGGTGCTTTCATTGAAGCGTGGGCGAGAGAGTTACATACAGGCTTTATTGTCGGAGAGTAGGGAACCAGCAGCCCATTAACGATAATTTTAAATAACATATCTAGGTCAATTCTGAAAACGTAGAGCTCACTGCCATGAATTATGATCTTAGTCTCGACCACGTTCAATCTGAGACCATTTACAGCCGCTCACTCCATAACCACGCCAGCGTCGTGCTGTGCCCTTGAGATGCGGTCGAGGATGTCGGGCGAAAAGCAATATATATAAATTTGCGTATCATCGGCGTATATTGTATCATTAGCGAAGCGGAGTAATCTTAAAAAGTCATTGATGAAAATAGCAAAAAGGTGAAGACCTAAAACGCTTTTCGGTGGGACCCCTGTAGAGGAGCTCAACCACCCGGAGACAACACCAATCTCGTCATCCAGCGCCTGTAGCCTATGGGCCAGGTAGTTGAAGAACCGCAGTAGCAGGTCGTCAAGAATGGTGTCAAAGGTCGTCAAGAAATCGAAGAGAAGCAGGATGGTGATATATCGTCTCTAAATGGCCAACCGAACATCATCGAGTAGGCCAAGTAGGGCTGATTCAGTGGAATGACCATCACGAAAGCCTGCCTGGTTTGTTGAGGCTGGAAAAACCCCGTAAGAAAGCGAACGATTGAAGAGTACTGTAGTGCGGCCCAAGAGAATGCGAGGCTAGAGAAAGGATGCTGAGAGAAAGGCCATCAGGGCCGGAGCCCCATGAACGTACTTCAGCAAGAACATCCTCCTCTACCTCTCTCCGGGTGACGGATTGGAGTGCAAATGGAAGGCTGGTAGCCAAAGTAACTTATAAGTTAAAAGTTAAAACTTAAAAGTTAACTTATAATCAGTTTTAGTCCCTATAAGCTGACAATAAAATAATCAACAAGATTTATTATTCAAAGTCTTGTGTAATTATTTTTTCAGAGGCATCATTACAAAATAAAAATGACAGTTTTATTAAATATTTGCAATGTATTTATATGCATTGCAAATATTTAATGATATTTACATTTTTATTTTATAATGATGCATCTGACAAAGTAATTATACTTTTTTGTGAGTATTTGTTTAAGAGGCATGATTATAAAATAAAAATGTCAATTCAAATAAATATTCACAATGCATATTAAAACATTGCAAGTCTTAAGAAAAACTGGTTCATTTTATTGTATGTCCATGCCTCTGAAACAAATAATTACACAAGAATTTAAATAATAAATCTTGTTGATTATTTTATTGTTAACTTATAATCAGTTTTAGTCCCTATAAGCTGACAATAAAATAATCAACAAGATTTATTATTTAAAGCCTTGTGTAATTATTTGTTTCAGAGGCATGGTTACACAATAAAATGAAACAGTTCTTTCAAGTCTTGCAATGTATTAATATGCATTGCAAATATTTAATGATATGTACATACTTTATTTTATAACCATGCTTCTGAAACAAATACTTACACAAGAGTTAAAATAATAAAACTTGTTGATTATTTTATTGTTAGCTTATAATCACTTTAGTTGCTATAAGCTGACAATAAAATAATCAACGAGCTTGATTATTTAAATTGTAATTATTTTTTCAGAGGCATCATTACAAAATAAAAATGACAGTATTATTAAATATTTGCAATGTATTTACATGCATTGCAAATATTTAATGATATTTACATTTTTATTTTATAATGATGCATCTGACAAAGTAATTACACTTTTGTGTGAGTATTTGTTTTAGAGGCATGATTATAAAATAAAAATGTCAATTCAAATAAATATTCACAATGCATATTAAAACATTGCAAGTCTTAAGAAAAACTGGTTCATTTTATTGTATATCCATGCCTCTGAAACAAATAATTACACAAGAATTTGAATAATAAATCTTGTTGATTATTTTATTGTTAACTTATAATCACTTTTAGTCCCTGTAAGCTGACAATAAAATAATCAACAAGATTTATTATTTAAAGTCTTGTGTAATTATTTGTTTCAGAGGCATGGTTATACAATAGAATGAAACAGTTCTTTCAAGTCTTGCAATGTATTAATATGCATTGCAAATATTTATTGATATGTACATATTTTATTTTATAACCATGCTTCTGAAACAAATACTTATACAACAGATAAAATAATGAACGAGCTTGAATATTTTAAATCTTGGCTACTTTACTTTTTCAGAGGCATGGTTAATTTTATTTTTAATAATGCCTGTGAAAAAATGAAACATACAAGAAATAAAATATTCAAACACAAACACAAACACAAACACAAACACAAACACAAACACAAACACAAACACAAACACAAACACAAACACAGTCACAATCACAATCACAATCACAATTTTATTTTGAATTACACACACTATAAATTAACAATAAAATAATCAACAAGCTTGATTATTTTAATTCTTGTATATTTAATTTTTTAAAGGCATGGTTAAAATTAAAATGAACCATGCCTCTAAAAATATTATATATACAAGAAATATAATAATCAAGCTTGTTGACTATTTTATTATTAGCCTTTCATTATTTCAAAAATCATAGCATGCAAACAATAACACTGTTAAGCAAGGGGGATATAATAAGACTAGTCTAGTATACTGGAGCTAAGCCTGTCTTCTGCTACTTAAAATTTTACTATAGTGTAACTACGTACGTAAATCTAGTAACTTAATTTTAAAAAATTTTGCGGAATATTTGTAATTATTAAACGCGAATATATAAATTAATTCAAGACGAATTTAATATTATATATATAATAATAAAAATTAAAAATATTTATTATAGAAAGATATAAGATTTGCATACTTACAATATATTGTGTATAATAAATTTTAATGAATCCTTATGATATTAAATTGCTATTTATGTTCTTCTTAAAACTGTATTATATTTTCTATATTTCTTTAATCAATTAGACTTTTTTATATCCGCTTATCACTTACAATATTATTACTTTATAACTGCTGTTTGTATTGTGTAAACTATTATTCGCATTTGAATTTTCAAACAACGGTTGCTATGTGTATGAACCCCGTATCGTTATATAAACATTTAATTATAATTCGAAAAAGTAAATAAGTAGTTCGTTTGTTCTTTGATTGATAAATAGTTTTTGACAATAATATTTATAAATTTATCTATGAAGTTTTAACTTATAAATTAATTGAAATAAAAATATGCATTGTTTGTCAAGCGCTCAATCTTGACCCATCTATCGCGCATGCTCATCATTATCTTATCATAAAAATGACAATTGTATTGTTATAGTTAAATCATTTGTATAAGGTCTATCTTACTTGGACGCTGTTAAATTTCTAATAAATTATAAGCTATCATAATTTAGTAGTTAAATTATTATAAATGACAACATATTGGGTAACTGGATTCACACCGCGATTTTATCCCGAGAGACTTCTAATGGGAAGTTACGAGTTTATGTAAATATGGCAACTATGAAAAATCATCTGCTAACTAGGTACATATTTTAATGAAATTAAACAACATAATAATCAAAACAAATAAATTGTATGGCCAATATTTATGATTAAACATTGAAGGAGAGTTATATACTTACCTTCTGTCTCCGAAGCTAGATAATTATTAGTAAAAAAAATAAATTTATAATATATATAATACATTCAATTTAAAATATGTATATACGTCAAATTGAAATAGAATATGACTTTTTTTTATAATAACAAGATATTATTGTTATATCAATGTATGACGAAAACAATAGTACAAATTCTGATATAAATTGGAAATTGTAAATATCAATAGGACTATAACAAATTCTTGTTGAGAATCATTTTATTTTTTATAATTTAAGTTTTATAATGAACGATTTTGATTGTTTATATAAGTAAAACCAACCCCGGGACTGCAATAATATATATAATTTATAAAGGTAGGTAATGTTCGTGGGCGGATGCCTGTCCTTGGATGAACTGACTCTTGGACTTGTGCTTCCGACAGGCGCAAAGCATGGATTGTTCCTCGGTGCTTTCGCTGTCAAAAACAATATTTATTTGCATTACTCTATTCACTGCAGCTATCAAAAATACTATCTGTCAAATTGTAAGCGTGAACATTTTTATCATGCCCGCTACGTCAGTGCAATATGACTCGCCCGACGAGTATATTTAAAATGTGAATTGTTGTAACGATACTTGACGTTTATTCGAAATAAATGAAACGGGGTTTTTAATCTTAAAAGGACACTGGAAACAAACTTGAATAAAACAACATACAAAGAGGTACATAATATCCTGGAGAAATACAGTATTCGTTCGATTTTTTGCAATAAAGAGAAAGAGTGGGACTAACCGTGTAGAATAACAAAACATTTGTGTATAATATAAGTATGCTATCATTTCACACAAAATCAACTATGTAGAATAAAAATTGATCGTGTAGAATAAAAAGTCATCGTGTAAAATAAAAAACTGTTCGTGTAGAATAAAACTGATTTATTCTGGTGTATAAATCAACCGTGTAGAATATTATTACTGGTAATCAAATCAGTACATGTCGAAACTTTAAACATAACTGTTGCGAAATAAAATTTTATTTTTCATTGTGTAGAATGAATTTATCTAGATTTTTAAAAACATTCGTTAAGTAGAATTAATAACAGGCTATGTCTAATAAAAGTTGACACATTTTGTGAATATTCATAAACGTGTACAATGTTCATGTTTTTCATCTGATATGATAATAACCAAATGTGACGTGTAGAATCTTTTACAATGTATGTATTTGAAAAAGTATGTGTAGAAAAATGAGTTATGTAAAATATTCGAAATTTCATTCGTGTAGAATATTAAATTGATTATGTACAAATAAACGTGTTCAAAATTCAACACTTTTGTAATCAAATAAACTTTGATTATGTATGATTTCTATATGTATAATATTTCAAATCAATACATTTTCAATTTCATTTTGTGTCGAATAGTTACGTGTAGGAAAATATTTAACTTTTTTTTTAATTTATATTTTATTTATCGTGTTCAATAAATAATTTTCGTGTTTAATAAATAAAGTCAAATAGTTTGGGTTTAATCAAATCGTGTAAAATTGTTATGTGTACAAACCGAACCCTGCCGTACTTAAGTAGATTAATTATTTAATTATATTAATTAATTATATTAAATTATATAATTAATTAATCAAGTGGATTAATTAATTAATTATATTAACATTTCATCATTTGATAATTTCAAATATCCAAAAATACTTCTTCCCATACAACGTTTTGAATAGAGTTATCATCATTTGAATTATTTTGAAGATGAATTTTTTCACGGTTTCGACATCTACTTAATGCAACATATAATTGACCATGTGAAAACAATGGTTTATCAATGTACAATCCTACTGAGTCAAAACTTTGTCCTTCCCTGCTATAAAAGTTCCATTGAAAACCATTGAAGAATTTCTGAATGGTTTTCAATCTTCGATCTGAACACTCCAAATGACCATTGAATATGATTCCTCATCCAACAAGAAATGTCAAGATATTAATTACTATTGGTTCCAATAATATAGATTACTATTGATTCCTAATCGAGATTAATCATTATCAATAGAAAAATATACTATTAAAGTAATGGTTTTCAATAGGATTCAATGAAATTTCTCATGTATGTTACCCAATCGATTTCAATGGTAAAATTCGTGGTCAAATCGAAGATTTGAAACCATTCGAATGCGATAATCAATTTGATTGAATTGATATCAATGGTTTGTTATTGCAACATTCAAGTCTCGTATCGTTGAATAATTTTCAATAGTTTTGAATATGAAAGTCCTAACATTTCAATAATATGGAATAGAAAATATCAATCTAATTGAATGGGTATTAATGGTCTTTTATCGCATGATCAACTTTTTTTCTGACGTTAGAAATGCTAGATATTTATGCAAAATGCGCAATTCATTTGAAATCCAATAATAATGTTCATGTCAATTTTTGTAATTTGTTTATGTACATAAAAAACCATTTATTTACAATTGAAAAAAAATCGAATACCCATTAAAAATTATATTCGAATATGTTTTTACTTAAAAACTATTAAAATTGATAAAAGTCTATTCAATCAAATCATATACGGAGTTTTTTCATTCATGACCTATATAAAATTATAATATCCAAAGCATAAGATACGATTCTTCAATTATAGTATTGAACAACTATTCAAATTTATAAAAAATCATTCAATTATGGAAATTTTTTCTTTCATCATCTAATGAAAAATTATAGAATAAAATTATATTTGATAAGGATGTAGAATGAAGGATTATTCAAAACTATACAAACAACTTCTCAATAGAATACGATTGAGTTTTACTTGCATTTACCAATCATTAGATTTCATTAAAAAATATTCAATTGAAAATATTTGAAATTTTTTTGTTTGCCTTTCATAAGAAATTATAGAATACTATACCTCATTGAATGCGATTGGGTTATTTTTATATTGACCAATCATTAAGATTAAAAAAAAAAATATTAAATGAAATATTGCTAAAGTTACAGTATTGCTTTTGCTCATATTGGCATATATGGAAAACCATTCTATAAAATATTATTGACCAACCGTGTAATTGGATAAAAATTAATATCCATATAATATGATTCAATAAAATATGATTGGACAATTATTGTATCGAAAAATTATTAAAATTCATAGAAAGATATACAATAAAATATCATTGATTAATTATTTTATTGAACTGTGATTGATATTCATTCAATGCAATTGGATAGATTATCATTGAAACCATTCCTATACAAAGTATTAGTCAGAAAGATTGAATTCTATTAAATTTAATGGTAAGTTTTACTATTAGTTATGCTTACCATGAAGTATTATTGAAAATCATTCAGTTTCAATCGTCATCGGAACATTGAACCATTCAGTTCATTGATTACCATTGAATATGAATGATCCCGAATAGGAATGAATGGAACTTTTTTAGCAGGGTTGTGCCTTATTAATTGTCATACAAAATGCTAAAAAGATAGGGAACTGTTTACGGTATAAAATAAATGGTAATGTAGAATTTTCTCCAGTGTTCAATGTTATTTTTGGTACAAAAACTTTCTTCCCCATATTTTCACCTGTTAATATTTGAACTTCAATATTATACTTATATAACTGTATAATTTTTAATCTAGTCCCATTACATAATCCTTCATGTATATTTAAATTTCTAATCAACATTACTGTTGCATTTATTTTCAAATCTAATTTATGTGGTGGGAGACCTTCTCTTACTTTATTTAATGTTTCTATAGGATATTTGAGATATATAGTATATTATGATCTGTTTGATCAACCCCTTTATGTGTAGCATAATCAATACTATAATAACTTTCAATTTTACCATTCAAATATTTTAAAATTTTAGTATTCAACTTATTAATATCATCATTATGAGCCGCTAAAATCACTCGGTCATACCAATGAGAAATATTAGAATTTCTATATATTTTTGAACAAACATTATCAGTTTTCATTTCTTTAGGTATTATGAAATTTTCAATTTTTCCTTCCCCAATATCCAATAGAAACTTAGCAAATTTTTCATTACTGCAACGCATATTTTTCTGTAATTTTAATATGGTAAACAAAGGCCATAAAGAAGAATGTTTTATAGTATTAATTATTATAGTGTTTTTGAATGAATATTTCATAACTGGTAAAATTTGTGTGAAATCTCCGCCTAACAAAACTAATTTTCCTCCAAATGGTTCTTCATTATCACATATATCACACAAAGTCTTATTAACGATTTCTAAAGCATTTTTTGGTATCATAGAAGCTTCATCCCAAATTATTAATTCAGCTTCTCGTAATTTTCTTTTATCACTATCATATTTCAAAAATACTGATTTGTCAGTTAAATCGAAAGGTAATCGAAACGTTCTATGACTCGTCATACCTTTAGGCAATAATACAGAAGCTATTCCGGTCCAAGCCATTGATAACGTTTTCCGTCCCATTGATAAATACTTATATATTATTGTTTTATATAAATGAGTTTTACCAGATCCCCCAGGTCCATCAATGAAAAATAATTTATTTTTACTCGTAAAAATTTCGTGATAGATTTTTTTTTGATCTTCATTGAGATCTTTAAATATTTTTTCAAATAATTTCTTACTTTCTGATCTTAAACATTGATCCTTCTCCTGTTCAACAGTACATACATTTTATGGTTTCGGCAAACCTAAACTGTCAAATTGGCTTGGAAATTTTCAGTTAATAAAAGATTTACAAAATAATTCCTCAATTGATATGGCATCATAATTGTACATGCTTCATCAAATGTATTATAAATTATTTTATCGTTATCTACTAACTCCATTGCAATAGCAACTTCTCTATAAGTTTTATAAATTTTTTTCTTGTAAGTTCGTAAATCCTTGAAAGAAGTTGCCCCTTTACTTCTATTTAATATTAGTTTCAAATGATATCTTTCAATATCTTTAGGATGTACGATCCCTATTCTGCCAATCGTTGGATATCGTTGTTTACGAACTCGTTTTACCCATTTTTTATCTCTAAAGTTAAAATATTTTGCAATATTAACATATTTAATTTTACGTGCAAAATCATTATTCTTATTTAATTCAAACCATGCTGTTAAAGTAGTCTCGAATTTTGACAAGGCTTCAATTTCTTTAGTTTCTTCAAAAACTATTTTTTGCTGATTTTCTGTATGAATCGTTCAACACTATGACTCCTACCACATAAAGGCAACCCACATAACATCCAAGCTGATTCCATCGCGCTTAAGTATTTTCCGTCAATAAATGTATCAATTTCATTATAAATTATTTTTTCGTCTTCATCATTTCCTAATTGATTATTACATTTTGGTTCATTTTGATAATTTTGTTTTTGCACCTTACATCGTGCTCTATCTCCTCCTTTGTGTATATAATCATAAATATATTTAACACTGTGACGTCGGGGTCACTCTCAGGTACGCTTGGAGCAAGCGTAAACTCAGGGTTGCTCTGATTTGGCTATCGTGTAACACACAAGCCGGGACGAGCAATATTGTTGCGTTGAGAAAACTGTATGCTAACGGGGAATGTAATAACCAAATGTTATTACGAACACACCAGACTCACGCTTAATGTGTTCTTAAGGGACTTTAATGGAAATTCACCAGACTCACGCTTAATGAATTTCCAAAAGAAAGGCGGATTACTTAAAGAAAGAAAAGGATAGCCAGGTTTAAGATTTTACTTACTTTTATTTTATCAATTTAGTTATTATTAATGTTGCGTTCTCTCTCTGCTCTTTGGCCTCTTTCTCTCTCTATATGCTCTGAATATACTTGGGTGATTTGATGCTTGCTCCGGGACTCGCTCACTGGTAAAAACTTCTTATTACGGACTTCCTGGTGCTGACTCCGCACTTACTCTATCTGAACTTGACTTCCTCTAACTTAACTGACTGAACTGAACTTAACTTGCTCTCCAGCCTTGTACAGAGCTTTTTATAAGCCGTGGGTGGTTGGGTGGAAATCCCTTTCCTCAGGCCCCTGAAGCGATAACGGCTAAATTTTGGGTTGGTGGGAAATTTTCTAATCATATCCAGAATTTCTTTATTGGTCTGTGGGCGTGAATTTTCAGAGAGAGAAAGGGCGGTCCCTTTTTAACTTGGGCCCTTTTCTCCAGAGATGGCTCTCGGAGTGCCACTTTTAAGAGCAAGAGTAACGCTTTAGCTTATAATTACTTATACATAATTGTACTAAACTTAATTAATCATGACGATACATAGTGACTATTATAAACATTCAGAAAAATATAAACCTTTTACGATTTATTATAAAATACATTATTGTTCTATTTATTGGTTATTCGGTGACAAAAAGATGCGCATTATAATAGCTTACAAAATTGATGAAAATCTATTTAATATTACGGATATTTTCTTAAAATCGGTGGGGAAAAAAAATAGATTGCATTTTTATGGTCCCCTTCCATTATCACCGTGATAACACTTTACGATGTATACGCGATGATCGTAGGCCCCTGTCAACACATACGTGTGGGACAAAGCAGGATAGAGCGTTGATTGTAAGCTTGAGTACGCAGGCTCGGGCCACTATCAAAGTTTATATTTCGAATGCGTTTTCATCGTGGGAAATCAGGAAGGTTCCCACTCCGTTCGTCATATTTAATAATTAAATATAAAAAAAACTAAGTTACGGCTAGCCGTCACAACACTTTCAATAGATGCACAATATTCAACGTTGATATGACATCTATATTTTCTTAATAAGAAAGCATTATATGGCACAACCATAGAATTATCAGTCTCTATAATTTTATCACTATATTGTGTTCGATATACATTATTATCAGTTACGTTATTACATCGTTTATATAATGGATATCCGTTATTTTGGAACGTCGTTACTTCTTGAAAATTTTTAGGATAATTTTTAGTACATTTTACTTTTCCTTTCTGAATACAAGGCGATGTTTCAGTATGTGGGCCATGTAATTGATGATCTAAAACTAATTTTCTCAAATTTTCATCTTTAGATATTTCAGCAGATATATGTTTATCTATCTGTTCAGGTGTTTTTAATTTATCATGCAGATGTAAAGTTACTAAAAGATGAGCATGAAACAATCCTCTTTTTTGAAATTCTATAGTATAAACCCATGCCTTTACCCTTCCAAATAAATTTTTATTTTCGATATCATCTAATAATGACAAAAATTTGGCATAAAATAATCGTACTGTTATAATTGGAATATCATTTGGTGTAGTACCAGGCGGAAAATTTTCTAAAACTGTTTGTAATTCTATCCATTTTGGATTACATGTCATTGTTTTGAATAAATCCGGTCTACCAACATGTCTCATTATAGCCATAGCATCTTGATAATGCTGCTGCATATACCGAGGACTACCAATATATGTTGATGGTAATATAAAAATATTTCCTAATTTTTCTTTAATTACAAAATTAATTGAATCATTTGCTGCACTATGTAAAACTTGATCTACAATCCCTTGATAAGTCTCTATACGCAATTTACTTTGATTATTTCTAAGCCAATTCATACGATTTGTTTCTACCATAACTGCAGCATGTAAAAAAAACTGCAGAGTTAATCTTCCACAAAATAATAGTGGATTACAGTTTTTTTCATAGGGTCGATAAGCTAACCTGTACAGGTAATATTGAAGCATTGTTAATTCACTGTTTTTTCCTTTTCTTATGTCATTTATATTTTCAGATTTCGCTATTTTCGCAATTTTTCCAAATTTTTTATGATAACCGATGCTCCATCCTAAATCACCTAGGCAAATCGGTGAAACAATGTGCAAAACTATTTTGGCGGTACTCCACACGTAACAGCTGAGACGTAACTGCTAATTTAAAAGATCGCGCGCCCCCTCTCTCTCTCTCAACTTAGAACTAACGCGCGAAAATCAGAATCGTGAACGGTTCGATTAATTGAATCGACTACCGTTGCAGCCCCCTCCAAGCCCTGACTACCCGGGCAGGACGAATACCCGCGATTCACTGCCATCAGGAATCTGAAAGTAATAAAGAAGGAAAGGAAACAAAATAACAACTCCCTTCTTTATTTCGGCTAATTTATTTGCCCTCCAGGGCCTACATCATTGTTTGGCTACACCTGGCGCGCGATGTTTCGGGTAGCGCCAGTGTGTAACCTTCTTCGGGCACCGCTAGGAGTTGGTCACCCCAGGCTCCCCACAGATGTAGCAGCCCCTCAGCTGCGACCGAGATTGAGCAGCCTCCCGACCTCGTGATGGCTGCTCAGCAGCCAGAGGGGACTGCTGGGCACTGACTCCCTGTGAGGCGGTGATGATCACGCCTCCCACCGTGACGGTCGCACGTCCATCCTTCGACCTGACCACGATGGTGGTATCAGGAGCCATGCGCCCGTCCACATGGACCGTGAGCGTCGATCCAGCGTCAGTAGCTCCCGGGGCTCTCTTCTCTTGAGCCGGCGCCGGAAGCGCTGCGGAGGACTCTTGTCCGTTATCCACCCGCAGCAGGGCCTCTCCGTAGGCCCTCTGACGCTGAGCCATCCCTGCCCACTCCCCGAGCAGTTCTTCTGCGCCCTGGCGGCTCAAAAAGCGTCTCCGGTGCTCCTGCACCTGAGACTGGAGTTCTTGAGCGAACCGCCAGGCACTCTCCACCTCGTTGATCCCCAGACGCACGTGTCTGAAGTCGTGGAGGAGAGTAGGCTGCTCAGGGATCCGGGGATGATTGCAGACCCAGTGCCCCACAGGTTTCCCTGGGTCCTGGGCATTGGCTCGCACTGTCCGACGTAAGGGTTATGCCGGACTTGAGGGTCTGCACCCCCTGGTCCACTGTAGACTTGGGACGTTCGACACTGTCCTGGTCCTCGGTCTGTGTCGAAGCGTCCCGAGAAGCCTTCTTCGGGGCGACCCACGACGAATCCGGGAGAACCTCTGCCACCGAGGCATTGCGCCGATCCCTTCGGGTGGTCCCTTCCAACTGGATCCTGGCGAAGTTCCGCAGATCTTCATTTAGCTGCGTCGCATCAGGGCCCAGTTGCAGATCTAACAACATCTGCGTGACCACCTCGAAGGTCTCCTCTTCGATGACGATTCTCCGGTCCATCTGAAACATCCAAAAAACAACAAATTTCGGATGAATCTCCCTGCGCGAAGAAAAAATCCTAATAATAGCCGTATCCCACCGAGTTATACGCTCCCTCGCGATTCTTTGTGGGAACGTCCTAGCCCTCGTCGGTTACCGCTCGGTTTTATCGGCCCAACCGTCCTTTGTACGACGGGCACGGTCTTCCGAGGCCTACCTCTACCTCTATTCGCCTTCACGGGAGAGTTGTTGCCCCTTGCTGGACCGGTGACCGTCTCTAGAACCTTTCGAGGTCGACCTCGACCTCTCTTAGTTGGGGCAGATACCGGTAAATCTGACGTCTCGGTGGGAACTTTATCTACGGCCGTGGGGGCTGCTAACTGGACCCGCTCGCTATCTGATAAATCCCCTCCCGGATTTTCGCGCGCATTCGCGGAATCGTTCGCATCCTCCGACGGCAGTTCTTCTGGCGGCTCGCGAGGTTTGATGACCTCCTCGCTTTCCCCATCCTCACCCGGACCGTAATATGGTTTAAGGTCTTTGGCATGGAAGAGCTCAGACAGGATCTCCAGCTGATCGCCTAGCCTGTACGTGTTGGAACCACAAACCTCTTCAATCACGTACGGACCGGCATATTTCGGCGCTAATTTAGCTGAAATACCTTGAGCAGCTGAAGATAGAATACTGTTCCTCTTCCAAACCCAATCTCCGACCTTAAACTCGGGTTGCCGTCTCTTCCGGTCATAATAAGCCGCCTGACGCGCAGCTTCCTCCTTTGACTTGGAGTTAGCTCTCTCCCACAAATTAGGAAGCTTCTCCATATGTTCGGCCCAATCTTCTACAGCCTGACCCTCCGAACATTCAAGGGCCTGCTGATCTTGGGTTCTTCTGAACGTCAAAGGAGGTACCGACTGACGCTCAAACATGAGCATCGCAGGACTATATCCGGTGACGCTATGAGTTGCCGAGTTCAACGCGAAGTTGAACTCTGACAGGTGTTCATCCCAGCTCTTATGATCACGGCTTACGTAAGACGTGATCATGGTCTTGAGTGTCCTGTTTACTCGCTCTGTGGGATTCGCTTGAGGATGATACACGGGAGTCAAAGCGCGCTGGATGCCGTTCATCTGCAGGTATGAATCGACCTCCTGATTCTTAAATTCGGTTCCATTATCCGACAAGAATACCTCTGGCGCACAAAACCTAGTGACGATCCTCTCGTGTAATTCCCTTGCGATTGTCTTCCCATTGGCCTTGCGTATCGCAACACACTCTACCCAGCGAGTAAACAAGTCTACAAACACTAAGATATACTCAAAACCTCGAGAGCTTTTGGGAAATGGACCAGTGATATCACCGGCCACCACCTGCCAGGGTCGTGATACTTGTCTACGACCCATCAGCCCGCAAGGTGCTCTTTGTTCCACCTTGCATTGCTGACATACCGGGCAACTCTTTACGTACTCCCTGACCTGATCATACATTTTAGGCCAGTAGTACAAGCGCCTAGCCCTGGAGAACGTACGCTCTCGTCCTTGATGTCCTGCAGTAGGAGCATCATGGACTTCCTGGAGCACCTGGTACCTTTTCTCCCTAGGCACCGCAAGCTTCCACGCTTCATCGTTGTCGATGGACCCTTCACCATCCTCATCAGGCTGATAATGATACAGTCTCCCTCCTACCACCTTCCATGTGGGGTGAGAGTGTGGGTCCTGGCATACTTCCTGGTATTGTTGCAAATACCAGGCGTCAGTGGTCTCCGGCCGACTATTTATAGCACTCACTTCAATCCCCTCCTCCTCATAGGCCCTAGATAAAGCGTCTGGCACCACATTGAGATCCCCTCTTCGATATTCGATATCGAAGACATTGCCTTGCAATGCTAGCGTCCATCGCGCTAATCTTCCCGTGGGATTTCTCATATTGTGGAGCCATTTCAGGCAACTATGATCAGTGATGACCTTGAAGTGATGCCCTTTAATATACGGCCGGAACTTTCCAATGGCTCATACCACTGCCAAGCACTCTTTTTCGGAACCCGTATAATTTCTCTCAGCACTGTTGAGTGATCGGCTGGCGTATTCTATTACACGCTCCTCTCCATCGACATCCTGTGCGAGAACTGCCCCGATCCCACTGTCACTAGCATCAGTTTGCAGTACAAACTGACCGTTCGGATCGGGTGATTACAGTATTGGGGCGGAAGTCATCGCCTCCTGCCATCTCGTGAAAGCTCGCCCTTGCTCCTCCTCCCAAGAGAAGCGTACATTCTTCTTTGTCAGGCGGTTTATAGGTTCAGCGATCATGGCAAAGTCGGGTATAAAACGTCTATACCACGAGGTCATTCCCATGAACCGCTTCACCTGTTTGACAGTCCGGGGTGTTGGATATTCTAATATCGGGCGTATTTTCTCGGGATCTGGTCTTACTCCGTCCTGGTTCACAAGAACTCCCAAGTACCTGACTTCCGTCTTATAGAAGTGACTTTTATCTTTGTTGATGGTTAGGCCCGCACCTATAATTCTTTTCAATACCCTTTCTAGGTGCCGCTTATGCTCCTCAAAGGACGACGAAACCACAATTACGTCGTCAAGGTAAGCAAAAGCGAATGGATCCATATCCGGGCCTATCACCTTGTCCATCAACCTCTGGAAGGTCGCTCCTGCATATGACAGTCCGAAGGGCATTCTCTTAAATTGAAAGTGCCCTAATCCAGGAACTGTAAACGCTGATATTGGACGCGATTCTTCCTTTAAGGGAATTTGATGGTACGCACTGCTCAAGTCCAAAGTAGATATGAACTTTGCATCCCTTATTCGTCTTAGGATGTCGTTCATATATGATAAAGGATAGGCATCAGGTTTGGTAATTGCATTTACCTTTTGATAATTCACACAAAACCTATATTTTCCATCTGCCTTCTTTACCATTACTACTGGACTTGACAATCCGCTGGTCGCTGGTTCGATAACATCCTTTTCCAGCATATCTTTGACCAGCGTGTGCATTTCCTCTCGCACTCTATCTGAGACTGGGTAGTACTTCTGTTTGATGGGTCGAACATTTCCAACATCTATTTCATGCTCAACCCCCACGGCAGAACCTAAACCTAAGCCCCGTCAGGAATCAATCTTCTGACGAGGTCTTCAATTTCTTCAAGCTGTGACTCCGTGGCTTCCCATAGTCCTACCGGTGCGAGAAATGCCGTACCATCAATTCCAGCCACTTCCATTGGTACTTTCACTTGGTCGTCCTTAAGCCATAATTCATCCTCATCGGGATCCCAAATTGCGCG